ATAAGCAGCATCTTTTGCGTCAACAACTTGGGCACTTTTTCTGGGCGACTGTGGCGGGTGGGCGCGCTCCGGCACGTTCCGGGGCTGGGGGTGCGAGGGCGGGGGTCAGGGGAGGGGTGCCGGGCCGGAGGGGGGTGGCGTGGCTCCCAGCGGGTCCATCCAGGCTGGGGAGGCTGGGGCAGGGGCCGCCTCCTCCCCGCCCACCCCGCCCCCGGCTGCGAGGAGCGGGAGGAAGCAGCGTCTAGTACTTAGCGATGTCCCCCTTCTTCAGGATGATCTGTCGCTGCCAGGGCGCCAGCTTGGTCTCGTCGTAGCCCAGTGTCCGCAGCTTCTCCGACTGCTCCTTTTCCCGCTGCAGCTCCTCCTGCTTCTGTCGCTCCTCCTCTTTTCTAGACACAGAACCACCGCAAGGGTGAGGGGGGGCCAGGCGCCTGGAGGGCTCAGCGGCGGCCAGGGCTGCGCCACTGAGGGCAGAGGGACTGATGAGCGGGAGGGTGGGCAGTGGCTTCCAGGGGCAGAGGTGCTAGGGGACTGGAGGCGGGGGCTGGGTTAGGAGGCAGGCAGAGGGGATTGCTGGGGACAGATTGGGGCACTCCTAGGAGCTGGGTGAGCAGGAGGCCGCGGCTGGGTTTTTGCTGGCTGGGGGGGTCACAGGTGCTGATCACAGGGTGGCTGAGGGTGAGGAGGGGTGGTTATGGGGGCGGGGGATGAGATTATTGGGGCTTGAGGATGGACTCTGGGGAGCAGAGGGACCATATTATTGGGAGGCAGGGGCTGGGTGATTATGGACAAATTATTAAAATGTGGGGCAATGGGGGAATATGGGGGACATCTGTAATACTTTCAACAATAAAGATAAATTTAGAAAAACAAAGCACTTTTTGTTTTCCAGGAATAAAAACAACGCCACCAAAGTGTGGGGGCTAGGTCTGCACTGCTAAGGTAGCCACTGAGCAAATGGGGCTGTTGAGGGTTTGAAATGTTAGGCTTGAGGTGTGCTGCAGCCATAGGTGCTCCTGGCATCGCAAAGACTTAGATTTAAGCGTGCAGGACATCTCATTAATAATTTTATATTGATTATATATTGAAGTATATAATTGAATTTTGATGTATCGAGTTATATAAAATATACTATAGCCCAGCTGGTGTGGCTCGGTGGTTGGGCATCCACCTATGAACCAGGAGGTCACCGTTCAATTCCCCGTCAGAGCACAGGCCTGGGTTGTGGGCTCGACCCCCAGTGGGGGGTGTGCAGGAGGCAGCCGATCAATGATTCTCTCTCATCATTGATGTTTCTCTCTCCCTCCCTTCCTCTCTGAAATCAATAAAAATATATTTAAAACATACTATGAAAATTAAGTTCACCTATATCTTTTTTTTTTTTTTTAACTGAGCAGAAAGACTAGGTTAATGAGGGAGAAGGGCTGGGTAATTGGGGACGTGGTCATTACAGCATAAGAGCTAGACTCTGGGCCGAAACCGGTTTGGCTCAGTGGATAGAGCATCGGCCTGTGGACTGAAGGGTCCCAGGTTCGATTCTGGTCAAGGGCATGTACCTTGGTTGCGGGCACATCCACAATAGGAGATGTGCAGGAGGCAGCTGATCGATGTTTCTAACTCTCTATCTCTCTCCCTTCCTCTCTGTAAAAAATCAATAAAATATTTTTTTTTAAAAAAAGAGCTAGAGCCGAAACCGGTTTGGCTCAGTGGATAGAGCGTCGGCCTGCGGACTAAAAAAGGTCCCGGGTTCGATTCCGGCTAAGGGCATGTACCTGGGTTGCAGGCGCATCCCCAGTGGGGGATGTGCAGGAGGCAGCTGATCGATGTTTCTGGCTCTCTATCTCTCTCTCCCTTCCTCTCTGTAAAAAATCAATAAAATATATTTTAAAAAAAAAAAAAAAAAAAAAAAAAAAAAAAAAAAAAAAAGAGCTAGACTCTGGGGACCGGGTCTAGTTGGGGGGGCGGCTGGTGGCATTACTAGGAGCAGAGAGGCTGCACTACGGGGCCGAGTGACAAGGGGATGAGGGGATGAGCTCAAGATGGGACTAGATGAAGGGGCAAAGGAGGGGAGGCAGGTTGGGACCAGCCCCTCACTCACCGCTTCTGCTCCCTAGAAGGAAAGAGAGACAGCATTAGTTGGTGCCACCACTTCAGGGACATGATCCAGACACCCTGCCAGACCCCAGCTCACCTCTCCTCTTCTAGCTTCTTCCGAAGAAGGTCCCGCCTCCAGGCAGGCATGTTGGCCAGCCTGGCCTCCTCTTCCTCCTCCTGAAACACACACAAAGCTTCAGGGTACCACGGGCTGGGAGGTACGGGCAAGAGGGGGTGCAATCCCAACTGGGGGGACCTGCAGGAGTTAGGGACAACAGGACACAAACGGAGGTACAGGAAGAGACCCTTTGATACCTTTCTCTAGGGCAAATGGATGGAGGAGCCTGGCCACACGCCCCTTGCAAGGGGCAGGAGGTCCCTCTCTCCCCCTATAACTCAGGCCTGTGTCCTAGAGGCGGCGCCAGAAGGGTCAGAGATGAGTGCAGGCGGTGAGGGCAGGGAATGAGAGTCCCCATACAGGCAGGCAGACAGATGGGCCCAGGCCTGTGACCCACGATCTTCAGGTAGACCCATACCTGGGCCCCGCAGACCCTGCCAGCTCTGAGAGGCTCTGGCTGGGCCCCGGTTCCATCGTGAAGGCCCTTCCCAAACGGAGTAGACATGAACTCTACAACCGAGAGCGGGGGGCATCCAACACAGGCAGCTTAGAGCGAAGGGTTTTATTACTCGCACCTTACAGAGAACACGTCACACGGAACACTGCACACCTGGCTCCCCGACCTTAACCAAAGAGGTAGCTGTGAACCCCAGTGAAATCCAGAGAGGGGTGGAGAGCCACA